CCCCAGGGACTGGAGGTGGGAGCTCAGGGAACAGCCCCCAGGGACTGGAGGTGGGAGCTCAGGGAACAGCCCCCAGGGACTCGTCATAGAAAGCCTGGAGGCCCCGGGGGGGCTGCAGGGGGGGGCTCCTGCCCAGCACCTCCCGACGGAAGTTCTCCCTCATCCAGCCATAGACCAAACTGTGCAGGAAGCCCTGCAGGGACACGCTCAGGGCCTGGGGGAGAGAGGGAGAGGGCAAGGCCAGTGCTGCCATTCCCTGTCCCTGCAGACCCCAGGACCAGCCCGGGCCGGGTGACACAGGGACGGGTGACACAGGGACATGGGGAGGTGTCTCTCCTCATGATGTGGTTAATTAAACCACATCAAACCCCTGGGAAGAGCCAAAGGGCGAAACCCCGACCCCCAACCCGGTGGGAAGAGCCAGGCTGGGCCAGGGCTGTGTCCTCACCCTGCAGTCAGTGGGGTCCAGGCTGTCCCCAAGCCCTGTCACAGCCCCTGACCCTGTGGGGCCCAGCACCACTGCCACATTGGGTGGGGACAAAAGTCCGGCTCGGGAGCCCTGGAAATGGGGTTTTACTCACTGCAGCAACGTAGAGGACAAGGACCGAGGCGGGTTTGATGCTGGTGAAGGAGAGGAGGGTGAGGAGGAAGGCTGTGGGTGGGAGACAAAAGGACAGTCTTCGGTGGGACACCCCCACCGTGACCCTGCGGGGCTGAGGGGGCCCTGGGACACCCCCCCGGACTTGCCTGGTGTCCAGCAGAGCAGGAAAACCAGCTGGAAGCAGCGGGAGGCTTTGCTGACGCTGCGGCCGCTCCCGCCCCCAAAGCCCGCGTCCCTCTCCAGGGGCAGCAAAGGCACCGCGACGGTCCCGCGGCAGCGGAGCCTCACCCGGCGGTACAGGAGCTGGGCAGGGGCCCGGGGGGTCAGCGGGGCCGTCCCGGACCCCAAACCCGCCCCTGCCCCGCGCCCTCACCGTGCAGCAGCCGAGCACCAGCAGCAGGTACAGGAGGAAGATGATTTTCCCCGCCAGCTCCGCGTCGTTCTCACCGAGGTACTGTGAGGCAACGGGAACTCCGTGGGGCCGGGGCAGCCCTGCCCCGAGCTGTGCCAGCTCTGCCCCGAGCTGTGCCAGCTCTGCCCCGAGCTGTGCCAACCCTGCCCCGAGCTGTGCCAGCCCTGCCCCGAGCTGTGCCAGCCCTGCCCCGAGCTGTGCCAGCCCTGCCCCGAGCTGTGCCAACCCTGCCCCGAGCTGTGCCAGCCCTGCCCCGAGCTGTGCCGCGACCCCACGGCCCGGGAGCTGCCGGAGCTGCCCCTGAGCCTCTGCTGGAACGGGCCCCCCCCGTCCCGGCCCTTTGGAGCACCTGCCCGGGTGGATCCTGCGGTCCCCAGAGCCCCCGCCCCGGCAGGGTGGGTGGGCAGCTCCGGGGGGCAGGGACGGGCACCTGACAGTGCTCACCTGGTAGCAAATGTCCTGGGCAGGGTGGATGAGCAGCAGGCAGCTGCAAGAAGGATGGAGGATGCTGCTGCCGGTCCCCAAATCCCCCACCCCATCCCCAAATCCCCAACCCCAAATCCCCCACTGCAACCCAAATTACCCCCACCACAAATCCCCAACCACAAATCCCCCACCCCCAACCCAAAATGTCCCAATCCCAAATCCCCGCCCCCAAACCTAAATACCCCAAACCCAAATCCCCCACCTCAACCCCAAATCCCCCATCCCCAAATCCCCCCCAACACCAAAATCCCCCATCCCCAAATCCCCCCCAACACCAAAATCCCCCATCCCCAAATCCCCCACCCCAACGCCTCCACCCCCGGCAGTGTCCCGTGGGGGGCAGGGAGGGGGTGCCCCCGTGCCCGGACCTGGAGCAGTACAGCCCGAAGGTGCCGTGGGAGCCGTTCCCTTTCCAGGGCACCACGGGCGCGATGTCGGTGCCGGGGGTGCCGCGGGCGAGGAGCTGCCCCAGGAGCGTCAGAGCCGGCACCAGCCTAGGGGAGAGGGGGGAGCGTCCCGGGATGTCCTGGGCTGTCCTGGGACAGCCGGGGGGGATCGAGAGGGGCACCTACCAGGCCAGGATGTAGGGAATTCCCTGCCACGCGCTCTCCAGGCACCGGCTCCGCTCCTGCGGGAGGATCCTGCCCTGAGCCGGGGCTGCACGAGCGGCAGCAGCCGAGGATCCAGCCCCGCTCCCACCGGGATGAGGGGAACCACCAATGCCCCAGGGAATGGGGCTGTCCTGGATCCCCCCGCTGCCCCTCGGGTCCTGGCAGGGCCATGTGTGGGCAGAGCAATGCCCAGGTCCTGGCAGGGCTGTGTGAGGGCAGGGCGATGCCCAGGTCCTGGCAGGGCTGTGTGAGGGCAGGGCGATGCCCGGCTCACCCGGGCGGGGTCACGGACCTGCAGCGCTGCCGCGGGCCGGGCTCTGCCGCCAAGGACGGTGCGATAGGACTCGTAGGCGTAGACAACGACCATGAGGAACGAGACCGAGTAGAAGGTCTGGGAGAAGAAAGGGAGAGGGACAAGGAGAGGGGGTCGGTCCTGCTGTGCCCAGCGCCCCCAGGGTACCTTCCCTCTGCACCCCGATGCCCCAGTAGCCCCTTCCCTCCCCGTGCCCTGCAGCCCAACCCCACACCACCCCTCCAGCCCCTTCCCTCCTCCTGCACCCGCGGAGGGACCCCGTGGCCTCTCTGGCCGGTGGCCTCTCGGGGCCGGCAGCACTGACCGCCCGGGCCCCCCGTCCGTCCATCCCAGCTCGCAGACGGGGCTCGGCCGCTCCCGGCGGCCCAGGGGGGTCCCGGTGCCCCCTTACCGTGACCAGCATCCGCCCGTAGGGACAGGCGGCGTAGGCGGGCACGGAGAGCGGGGCCGGCAGCAGCTGCAGCGTGGCCGTGCCCAGCAGGGCAGCAGCGCCCAGGAAATCCGCCAGGGCCAGCAGGGCCAGGGGCCGCAGCTGGGGAGGGGGCACGGCGTTAGCTCGGATGGCAGAGCCCCCCGAGCTCCCACGGCCCCCCGCGGGCTGGCACCGGCTGCTCCCGGGGGGCTGGAGCGAGCGCTGGACATCCCGCACCTCCCGCGGCTTTATCCCAGGGCTGGCCCGGCTTTGCCTCGGGCTTAGCTGCGGTCAGGCCCATCCCTGCGCCCCTGGAACGTGGTGGCACTCACCTGGGAGTGGCAGCACTGCCGGCGGCACTTACCTGGATGCTCAGGAGCCGGTGACACTCACCTGGATGTGGCAGCACCGCCGCTGCCGGGAGGCGACAGCGAGGACGGATCCGCTGCCCAGGAGGCTGGAAAAGTCGGGGCTGGTGACAAATGTCCTGGCAGAGCTGCTGCCAAGCCCCAGTTCCAGCCCCGGGAGCGGGGCCAGGACCCACCTGAGCAGCGCGGCCGGGAGGGAGATTCCCATCAGCACCAGGACCTGGGAGAGACACGCGGGGAGCGCGGGCTCGGGAGTCCCGGAGCGGGGCCACCCCGGGAGCCTCGGCCGGCCCACGGCTCGGGGGGATGTGGAGCCCCGCGGCACGGCCGGACTCGCTCCCTCGGGCATCCAAAAACACCGGGAAAGGTGCTCGTCCGGAGAGGCCGTGGCAGGGCTGAGGGGGCAGCGGAGGGGTCGGGGCCGGTCCCTCCCCAGCCCCTCGGCGGCGGCCGCGCGGGGGGTTTCCCTGCTCCATCCTCCTCAGTTTTCCTCCTCAGCATCCCGGACTCCCTCGCCCGGGGCTGGGGAGCGCCAAGAAGCCGCGTCCCGCCCGGGGCCACGCCGGGAGCGGCTCCCAGACGGCGCTGCTGGAGCTGCCGCCGAGGAACCGGAGCGACCGCCGGGGCCGGACGGATCCCGGGGCTGAGTCACCGGGACAGCCGGGCAGGAGCCTGGGAAGAGCCGCTCCGGCCCAGCACGAGCCCTGCCTGGGGGGCCGGGACCCCTTTGCCGGTCCCAGCGCCGCCCCAGCTCCGGTGTGGGGGGACCCCGTGAGCCGGGATTTGTTGGAACGGGAACTGCAGCGTTCGGCAGCGCCATTCCCAGGTCTCCAGAGGGTTTCCCGCACGCACGTGGATTTACCTGGGTATCCGAGAGAGCCCACGGCTGCTCCTCTGCGTTGGCCATGGCCGGGGGTGGGAGCCTGGAGCCTTCCCGGCTCCGCCTGCGCCGGGCACAGCCCGGGATGGAGCGGCTGCCGGGAGCGCTGGCGCTGGAGTGGCTCCGCTGCCGCTGCCCGGGCTCGCTCCACACCCTCTGTGGGCACCCGGACACGGCCCAGCCGGAGGAACCTGCCCAGCCGGGGCAGGAGGAGCTTCCCCGAGGTGCAGGTGGATCATCCCAGCCCTGGGAGCAGGGAGGGATCAGCACCTCGGCTGGGGAGCCCAGGAGAGCACATGGACACCCCTGGGCATGTGGGGAGAGAGGGAACAGCACCGAGAGCTCCTTGTCCTGCTGGAGAGAGTCCAGAGGAGGTCCCGGAGCTGCTCCCAGGGCTGGAGCCCCTCTGCTCTGGAGCCAGGCTGGGAGAGCTGGGGGGGTTCCCCTGGAGAAGAGAAGGCTCCAGGGAGAGCTGAGAGCCCCTGGCAGGGCCTGAAGGGGCTCCAGGAGAGCTGGAGAGGGACTGGGGACAAGGCCTGGAGGAACAGGACACAGGGAATGGCTTCCCAGTGCCAGAGGGCAGGGTTAGATGGGATATTGGGAAGGAATTCCTGGCTGGGAGGGTGGGGAGGTCCTGGCCCAGGTTGCCCAGAGAAGCTGTGGCTGCCCCTGGATCCCTGGAAGTGTCCCATTCCAGGTTGGACGGGGCTTGGAGCAACCTGGGCTGGTGGAAGGTGTCCCTGCCCATGGCAGGGTGGGACTGGATGGGCTTTAAGGTCCCTTCCCACCCAAACCTTCCTGGGATTCTCAGTGCCAGGCTCCTCTGCATCTTCTCCCAGCACAGATCCAGCACTGATGGTGCAGGAATGAAGCATTCCCATTCCCACACTCACAGGGACCTCGGGAAATGAAGGCATTTATTAATCTTGTTACAATTTTAAACCCAAGGATGTTCTGATCTCCAAGCCCAACACCAACAGCCACCAGAGTCCTGCCTCCAACGGGGATTTACCTTTATTTCAGGGATATTGGCTGAAGGAAGAGAGGGAAGAGGGAGGGAGGGATGGGAGGGAAGGTCTGAGGGAGGGAGGAGGAGGAGGAGGA